TGGTTTCTAGAATGATTAATTTACAATTCCGAAAATGATGCAGGCACAATCTACCGTAACAATCCAGCTTCCTTTCAGTACAAAACCACGAAATGAGGTAGAAATTCGCCGTTCGCGGCGGGGGTATAGCAGTAAGCAACCGGTTTTTAGTGTAATTTCATCAATTAAGCATAAAGTCATTTGAAATGGTTTCTAGGATGATTTTTTTACAATTCCAAAAATGCTCTCAAAAAGCTAGAAATAATTTTCACTCAAGAGGCAGGCAAATCCCATTTTTTTCAGCGGGAAAATCGCACAAAAAGTGAAATTTTAATCGAAAAACACCCACTTGTTGTACCAAAAAGACAGCGAATCCGATCGTTTATCTACAAAAAAGGAAGGCGGTTAGGAAAAATTGCTGCAAAGGATTCTCGTTAGACATAAAAAGTTGGGGGCTGGCGGGATTACAAAATTCGCATTACAACGGGTTTCCTATGAAAATCAAATTTTCTTGCATCAAGAATAAACAGCAGGAAAGATCTACCACAATTCTTCATACTTTGATTGCAATAAAGCCAATCCAGTTTCCTTTAAGCACAAAACCACGAGAAGAGGTAAAAAGTTTTCGTTCGCAGCGGGGGTCTAGCAGCCGGTTTTTAGTGTAATTTCATCGAAATGAGCACAAAATCATTTGAAAAAAGTAATATCGAAAACACGTAAGAACAACAACGCTTACTTGTATTCGCATGCCATCAATTCTGATACCAGTGAAGAAGTGGAACAGCCAGCAGCAATCGCAAAACCAAAAAACGGGCAGCAGCGTGTGTACCGTACGTAGCTACTAAACCGAAAAAAAGGAAGATTGTCAGAAGCACGAATTACATGGCTCTTGCAAACGAAATAATAACAAACGGGGTTTTAATCGATCGATCGATAAAAAGGAAAGGAAAATGACGGCGAAAAGTTTAGAAAAAGCTAGCGAGACTCACCTGTAGCTGTAGCTGTAGCACTGTAGCACAGAACACGACCGTCGACAACCGCTTCGAGTTCGAAAAGGAATGCCAAGCAGCAGTGCACGTAGATTTATCCAATTCCAAATCACCGAAATTATCGGCACACAGTAGCTTCTTTGTGGAAAGCAAAACGAATTTGAAAAGCCTCCGTTCAAATTGAAGGGTTGCTGGAGGAAGAAGTTTTGAAACTTTTTGTAGAGAGCAAAAGAAAAGAGAGAGAAAGAACCTTTAGAAACGCGAACGCAAAAGCCAGTATTTTACCCATCAAAGGGAGGGAGGAAATGTTTTGAAAAATCCTTCGAAAAGGTACTCGATCTCTTTCAAAAAAGTTAGGGATGAAAAGGGATATTCGCTTTAGAATCAAAGGTCAAGGTTTTCAATCAACAACTACTGACTGGATGACAATCGACGTTTTCAAAACATCCAGGAAAGCGCTAGAAAAAGTCTTTGAAAAGACAAACAAAGAGAGCGAAGCGTTAGCAAAGAAAATGGCCTCGTTGAGCAAGGCCCATTGAGAGAAGACACTCGCAAATTCGGAGCGAGGGAAGCGAGCAAACGAAGATTCGAGACCTTTCCACACAATCGCAACCCCATAGGAACCGAACTACCGAAGCTCAGTTCAAGGGGTGTAGCAGTTTTTGCGGAGTTCGTGCAAGAACTTTCGATGGGAACGGACCGATATCAGATGTAATCGGACCGATATCAACGGAGCGAGCTCATTTGCATATCCGCACATTAGTATTATTGTAGAGATAGCTCCCCTACGAAGCCCGCTACGCGGGCTTGCCAGTGACCCTACGGTAGAGTACATAGATTAGCCTCGGAAAAGACAAGAATTTTCTTAAAACCCCCTGTGAATGATAGTAAAATTAGCCTCGGTAAAGACAAGAATTCTTTCGAAGCCCCCAATGAGTATGCAGATTAGCCTCGGAAAGACAAGAGGTGTATCAAACTCGATTTGAAAAAAATTAGCTCCGCACAGGTCACGTGATAAAAAAATTACTCGCACTCCTGTGACTATCGCTAGTCAGGGGGTCGCCTGAAATAGAGAAGGGTAGAGGCTCCCCCCTTCCTAGCGATAGTCACAGGAGTGCGAGTAATTTTTTTATCACGTGACCTGTGCGGAGCCAATTTTTTTCAAATCGAGTTTGATACACCTCTTGTCTTTTCCGAGGCTAATCTGCATACTCATTGGGGGCTTCGAAAGAATTCTTGTCTTTACCGAGGCTAATTTTATTATCATTCACAGGGGGTTTTAAGAAAATTCTTGTCTTTTCCGAGGCTAATCTATGTACTCTACCGTAGGGTCACTGGCAAGCCCGCGTAGCGGGCTTCGTAGGGGAGCTAGTCTTCCGTTAATTGAAAGTTGCTTCAAAACATTTGCAGCCCAGGTCTATTCGTGTTCCTCGTTTAGATATTTTGATGGGTTACCCCCTAAGTCTTGTGTTTTAATTTTCCATAAAATTTCATGGTAAGACTTCCCAACTTTACTTATCTGTT